AAAAATCCCATGCTGATCGTGCGGCTCATCCATCAATCAGCCTAGTGCGTGTCATGTCCAATCAAACGATAGAGCGAGTCCGTGATAAACGAAGCGCGAAGTAGCGAGGGACTACTGCGCTTCTCTTCTTTACAATTTAAATTTAAATACTGTAACGTTTTAAATAAATAAATTTACACAGAAGGAGGGAGATTGGGAGTTAAACTTGGACTACTGTATCCCTACTTCACGGTTTTTCACTTATCGCGAGGGGCGTGGTACCCTAAACCCCGTGATAAACGAGGGACTGCTGTATACAACTCAGTGCATTTGTGTGACTAAGCTCAAACTAATCCTTAATTTTATTTGCAACCCCTGATTAGGATAAAAAAAAATTAAAATGTGCTGAATTCTATACAAGTTTATTGCTCGATTTCCCCTCCGTTTTCAAAATAATCATTTGTTCTTGAGAGACACAGGAGTGGACAAGGAAGGAGCTTGTGCATGTCTTTTTGAGCGTTCACACACTTAATCGGCAGCATAAGCATTTCCTGGGAATTCCCTTTGAGAGCGATACAGAAAGAGTTAGTGTGTGAGAGAAAGGGAGAAGGAAAGGAAATTAAAAAGAATGTGGCTCTCCATGTTGCGTGACTAAACTTTTCTTTGGAAGACAATCAGACACAAGCAGACACCACCGTCTTCTTATAATGCATCGTACTCGGTTGCAGTTAAGTTGTTCAAATCTGAAACGCTAAAATGGTTTGTTTCTCTGTACCAGACCTTATCTGTAAAAAATAATAATTAGAACTGCAAGCGGTTATCATAAGGGTCGCGGCCCCCCGGTGGACCCAACACAGACAAGCCTTCAGGTCAGGACGCAGGAAAAATGCAGATTTAGTTGCCACAGTGGAGGCAAAAGTACTGAATATATACTGTATAAATAATCGTCAACAGTAATGACGGGTCGTCAGCTCAGTGAGGCGAAATATTTACGTCTAGCCTTGGAAATTTATTTGTCTTAAAGTCACATTTCGTACCAAAAGCCAATCAAGTGGAAAACTTGTGGTTTATTTAGCCTTTTACCAAACTTTGCATATGAGGCCTAAATGGTAAAGGAGATCAAATTTCATGCTACTGAATTACTGGTATTACCTGTAAACGACGCACTAATGCACCCCCATAGCAGTGGAGAAACATTAGAACCATGCGCTGATAACAGGAAGACGGCATCAGATTTGTTTACCCACGAATGTGACAGCAGATCTGATGTGGATCAGTGGCGTGACTCATGCTTCCACGATGTTTTCGAGGAGGTTTGTTTACAACGAGCACGGATCCGCATATAGGATTGCGTCCAGTACACAGTAGTCCCTCGATACTTCACGGTTCAACTTTTGCAGACTCACTGTTGCGCGGGTTTTCAGCGTAAGATTGTACACGACGCACGATTGTCAACTTTAATATTCGTGATTGGGACGGTACGGGATAAAAAGTTAACGGGAGCAGACGAGACAAAAACCTAGGGATGCACCGATCCACTTTTTCACTTCCGATGCGATACCGATATCTGACGTTTATTATCGATTGGTACCGATCTGATACAGAAAAACAGTGCTGAATTCCGTTCAACAAACTCGGCGTGCTCTTTGGGGTGAAATCTCTGGAGATGCTTGATTAAGTTGGTAGTTTTATAGCTGGAAGTTTTAGTGCCACCCCTTGGAACCGTCGCTGCGCACGTATTGCACGCAACTGTCGAATGTGTTGGCTGAGGTAGTGTGAAGTAGTTCCAGATGGCTGATCCTTTCGCTTGCTCCATTTTGAAAACAATCTGTGCGGCGAAATCGCTAGCGCATGACGTCACTCAAAGCACAGAGCATCGAATTAGAGTGAATAGATCTGCCCAGTCATGGCTCGGTCACATTGTTGTCACCAATACCCGATCCAGAAGTTTTTCAATACCGGGTGTGATACAGATATTGGTATAGGATCGGTGCATCTCTACAAAAAAATATATATATTTTTTTTTTTTAATCAGACAGGCACTGCCATTTTGTAGTTTCATTCAATTAGCGTACACTAGGAATGCGTGATATATACGGTACACGGTAGAAACGATAGAAGTTTAGCCTACTATAGAGATCTGTCTTCTACCGGCTAACCGCAGTAATGCTGTGTCTGATGTACAATCAGAGTTGTCAGTTTAATCGTTACTTTTTTTTTTGTTAAAAACTGTGCGTAAGTGGTGTTAAAGTCTTTTCTTCGACAGCTACGTAGCGAAGCTACAAGCTAACTACAGCCGGCTTGCCGTAGTTTTTCCGTATTCGGACGCATGCGCAAAACGCTGAGTTCCGTCAAAAGTTTTATTTTATTTTTTTTCCGTCTCAAGTTAAAGTAAGCGTTGGTCAGCTTTAGAGAAACCTGCTCTCTGATGTGTGAAAAGAACGCTGTGTTGTTTGATTTTACTGCGAGACCCTCTGGTCACAGACTCATTTTGTGTCAGCTCTCCTTAAAGCGGAAGGAGGCGCCCACTAGAGGTTTGGAGGGTGAAGTGTTTCAGTGTAAAATGCTGCTCTGTTGCTGTTCATTTATTAAGGGAGACGATTGGAAACTGTTAACGAGTTAATAACATATTATTTTGTTTAAAACAAATGGCTAAAACTACATTTGATATCTTTTGCACCGTTTTGCGCTACAAGAAAGAAGCCTAATACTTGATTTGTTTATTATTTTAAAACTCTCGACCTAGTAGTGGAATTTTCTTAATTCAAAATAAATTATGGCAAAAGGACACCGTACGCTTTTTCCATTCCTATTGCAAGTTTTGTACTAAAAACATATCGTGATATATATCGTTATCGCCACCCTTCACAATACATATCGTGATATAAATTTTATGCCATATCGCATACACTGCAACGCCAGTCAAAAGAACTACACGGCCCAGAAGCCAACGGTGCTTCCAGCCGCTGCTTTCTAACGAAAATTCAAAGAGCAGCAATGGAGGGAGAAAACACTAGCGGAGAAACTGATGTGGTAAAAATAGTTTTGCAACGCAAAGTAAGAAGTAACTATTAAACTCACAGAACTGGCAGGAAAATCGCAAATAATCCTGAACCTGAACTCATCCTTCCAGTTGTAGTATCTTCACTGCGAGTACCCATATAAAATGTTGCTGTATTGTACAGTACATATACGCATGTTGTTAAAGTTAAATAGGTTTAAGAGTTTAGAACATTGCAAGAGTGTGGGAAGGGTTTATAAAGACTTAAAATAAATATAAATCGACCCTACTTCTGGGATTTTCACCTTACGCGGGGTGTCTGGAACGTACCCCTCACGATAAGTGAGGGACTACAGTATCTGCAAAACTAATGGGGTGAAAACTTTCAAACTGCACCCTTTAGTGTGGTTCTGGAAAACCTTCTTTTTATGCTTGATTTCAAACATTATGATGAGTACTTTCAACATTTATTTAACTCTTGGTTCACTTTTCCACCCATTATACAGTTCAGTTGCTTAGAATCGATCTTTGCATTATTGTCAGAGCATTCAGTCGCGTTTAAGCCGGCTCTTTTATGGCACTTTTCCATGTCGTCGCCTCATGTCTGCCAGACGATGACAGCTGAACACGAGCAAGGCAGCCCTTATAGAAACGTGTTGATGATCTGGACTAAACAGCCACACAACGCAAACTGCAGTTGGAGCCCTTCAGTCGGACTCGGTTAATCATTGATGGACGTCCAGACTCACATGGGCTCAGACCTTTACTACTCTGCTCCGAGTTCTGCTCGTAAACCTCGGATCACGCTCATTAAGGTCAATGGTATCGACTGGTGCATGACGGGGTTGACAGACACAGTCCTTTAACGTGCGGAAGGCTTAAAAGAAAAGCAGAAAAGCAAAACAGCTTGTTGTGACAACAATAGTTCATAGTCTTAGATCTTATTACTGCTTTTCTTTTACATTTTATTGTTGGATGCAACTGGGACCCTGTGTACATAATTTCGCTCCACCACATGTACCACATGAGGTGCGAACGACAGTAAAGAATATCTGAATCTGAAAAAATAAAAAGGTTAAATCACGTCATCTGGACCAGTTTCTTAACGTGAGAAACGTTTCGTCTCCCATCCGGAGGACTTCATCAGTCATCAACCTCCTGTTGGAATCTCAGAAGTAGGCTTAGCAAGTTGGCCATCCGGACTAAAACATTTGATTGTTGTACACGATGACCGATTGTTTTGGACAGGTTGTGTTAAGAGCCTACTCCTGAGATTCCAACGGGAGGTTGGCTTGAAACAGCTATGAAGGATACCCGAGGGGCCGAGATGCGGTAGAGGCAGGGCAGCTGACCTGGTACCCTAAAGTCCCATGCGCAATCCCTACCTATTCCCACATGTCGTGGTGTCTCTGAGCAAGAAGCCCAATCCCCAATTGCTCCCCGGGCGCTTGCATAGCTGCCCACTGCTCCACCTGGGTGCATCCCAGATGCAATGGGTTAATGCATAGAACCGATTTCGTCACTGTACGGGCACATACAATGACAATACATAGCGCTTTACTTTATTGCAGAATGCAGACTGATGAAGTCCTCTGGATGGGAGACATTTCTCTCAAAGAAACTGGTCCAGATGACATAATTTAACTTTTATTGTTGTTATCTACCTGGATGATTGAGCTTGCAAACCTTTTTTTTTTTAAGTTTGTCGCAACATGAAGAACTTGGCTGTCTGAACACAAACACGTTTTCCCGTGAGCTCCAAATTCCCACGGCCCTTGAACACGTCCTGGCGGGGACAGGTGCTCTCTCTTCGGTTTCAGGCTGCATGAGGGCGTCTAGATAAAAGTGGAACCGGCTCGACCAGAACTGCACAACAACACCGCTGGCAACTACAGGGGACTTTCTTTCTTTTCTTTACCCCTCTTATGAGCATCTGATTTACGCACCTGCACGAGGCGCACAATCACCTGGAGGAGGGGGGGTCATTGCTACAGAGCAGAAAGACGGTGTTCGGGCTCACCTCTTCCCATTTGATGAACTTGCCTCCCTTTAAAAGGACTTCGGAGACCTTCACGGCTTCGAGCTGCAGCGCGTGGACTCCCGGCTTGGCCCCGGCCATGGCGAGGGACTCCCTTCCCGGGTGCCAACGCCTAAAGCCGAGCAGGACTCCTCGGAAGGGAACACCCTCCTCCTTCCTTCCTCGACGAAAAAGCCGCTTCTTCTTTTCTGAATTATCCTCCCGGAAGAGTTGGTGAAAGGGCCGCGCGCTGCCCCTGAAACTTAAAGACACTTTTACGGAGCAGAAACCCACAAGAGACGAGCCGTGTCCTCTTCCTGTCCGCGTCTCCGTGTCCACGCGCAGGACCGGCTCTGGTTCATGTGCTCGCGCGCGGCTCGGGCGCCTTTGATCTCGCGTCGGAGCCCTCGGTTTCCATCCGGTCGCGTCCCCTCCGCTCCTCTGACAACTTTCTCTGCTTCCTCCTCACTCCCTGCTCGCCTCTGAGGCGTTTCTTCGTTCCTCCTCCTCTTCCAGCATGTTTTCAGAAAGGGGAGGAAAAAAAAGAGGTTTTGAAAAGAGGAAAAAAAAGTCGGGCAGGGAAATGAGTTTAGAGTCAAAAGGGTGTTTTCACTTATAGTTCCTCTCTGCACAAATACACCATCATCTATTTATCAAAGTTCAGTAATCCAGGTAAGAAAAAGCCTAAAAAAAAAGTCATCTGGAAGGTTTTCTTTTTGTTTGTTTCGTCCTTCATCCAAAGGACTTCATCAGTCCCACAAGCAGCACACGCACATTCATTCGTTCAACCTTTATTTATACAGATTGTTCCCACTGAGCCTCAGGGACTCGATAACAAGAGAGACTTGTTACATGTACACAAGACGAGGAAAAGAGAACACAAGGGTGGAGGAAGTATAAAAAATAAAAGCCTCGCAACATAAACAGCAACGTACAATGACATCATGATACATTTATGCGTAGAAGGTCAACAAAGGCGGTGGGTCGTCCATGGACACTCCAGTTCCATAGTGGACCAACCAGTTAAAGAAACTGTCCAGATGACCTGACTGAACTTTGTTCAGTGACGTGCGGTGAGGTTTGTGACAGGTGAGGCACAACTCGTCTGGAATCGGGTGCTTAGATTTCAATTTAGCCTTTTTTAAGGCATATAATTATGCTTTAATCAGCTCCATACTCCTCTCTTTTTAAATAAAAAAAACTACCTTTATTTTAAGATGAATACATTTAGAAAAATCCTTTAGTTTTGCGATATGATCTTCCACCCCCGCCCCTCTGCGTAACAGAACAACGCACAGCGGCGTTTCATTGTCCCTATGGGGCAGCACTGCCCCCTATTGGTGCGGAGAGGTACTTTCTGCCTCACCCTGTGTATTTTAACCGTGCGTTTATGGCCAATTAGAAAGAAGAAATATGTCACACACGTTCATTCAATATTTTAGACAGACTGTAGAGCAGCACATGTGTAATCAAACATTGGCGATATAAAGAGAGACAGAAATGGGCATGCACCAACCACCTACTTCATATATTGTATATGACACAGCGCCCCCAGAGGTGAGCCAGAGCATTACGCTGTCTCACCTGCATCGTTTGAACAGGCAATGCATAAAGTCCACGATTTTGAATTTTGAGTGTTGAAACGATTCAGAAAACAGTTTTATAGAACAGTCAAGTGGTCAGATGTATCTTACTTGTCATGATCACAGGTGCAGCACTGCTTCCCCTGACCGCACGTCACTGACTTTGTTGTATTTGCTACCTGGATTATTGAGCATGAACTTTGATGTTTTGAACCACTTTGCCTCAGAGGAGTCGACAGGGGAGAGGGCGGGCTCCAGAAAACATTTTATCTCCAGCAAACTCCGCCCACTATTGGAGTGTGCTGCTTGTGGGACTGAGTTTGTTGTGGCTCCTCGGACTGATGAAGTCCTTTGGATGAAGGATGAAATATTTCAACGAAACAAAAACAAAGAAGCTGTCCAGATGATGTGACTTAACTTTGTTGAGTTAGTTTGTTGCATATCACCCACCACCTTGCCCTACGTTCCTAACTTTTAGAACCTATGCGGAGATCAGCTACTACCATGCCAAATGTTAGTTAAATAGCTGCAAAACTGGCCAAGTTATAGCCATTTTTATGTTTGTGGTACATGTTTAGCTGTGGCAGCCATCTTGAATGAGGTAGACTCCAAGAAGTAACTAGAAAGTTCCTGAAGAAACTTTGATGGGGACTGCCACATTGCGGCCATTTTAAAATTTTGATTTGACAATATTATGTGTTGGGGTTGGCGCTCAGCTACCACCACACCAATTTTCAGCTTAATATCTCTAAAAATCTTCATCCTCAATAATCCTAATCCAGGTAAAAAAAAAAAAAATTTAAATCCCAACAAAGTTTGGTTGAAGGGCGAAAAACATCTCAACAAAAAAAGAAACCGCCCAGATGACCGGATTGAACTTTGTTGGATATTCTACCTGGATTATTGAGCATGAACTTTGATGGTTTGAACCACTTTGCCTCAGAGGAGTCGACGGGGGAGAGAGCAGGCTCCAGAAACCATTTTATCACCAGCAAACTGGTTGGTCCACTATGGGAGTGTGCTGCTTGTAGGACTGTTTGTTTGTGGCTCCTCGGACTGATGAAGTCCTTTGGATGAAGGACGAACCGTCTCAACAAAAACAAAAGATGACCCGATTGAACTTTGTTGACTCTAGTAATCTGTTCCAGACTGTGATTATATTCTAAGAGTCTCATTAAAAAGTGCCCAATGGTTCATGAGATATTTTGCTAACAGACAAGAAAGGCTTCAATAGTTAACTCCAAAGTATTCAACAAAGATCTAAAGTAGAGAATGTTTGGAGATGACTTTCATGAACTACTACATCTAATTTTAGCTAGGTTTGTAAATTGGCTGCATTACAATCATTTTTGTGTTTGGTAAGATCAGCTTCGGGTTTCTAAAATTAAATCTGTGGACACTTTTCAGCTCGGAGACAAAAGAGAATAAAACGTTATCAAGTTGAAATTAAGAAACGAGGACAGTTATGGTTTCATTTGTTTTTTTTACATATTTATTCTTAAACAATAAAAATCAAATGTAGCAGCAGGAGTGTGTCTCTCCACACACATTTCCTAAAAGTAATAACACAAATTAAGTAATAGTAGTGGTAGTAACGGTGTCAAAACATTTTTAATGTGGGGGGGACACTGGTGGGGGGGTCCGGGGGTCCTTCCCCAGAATTTTTTTAATTAAGAGACCATTTCCTTCAATCTGGTGTATTTTAACGGGCTGTTAAACATCTACATTTACCTCCACAAGTAAACACTTGATTCAACAACTCTTTTAGAGAACACGACACAACAAGTGGTTTGAGTGTTCTCCCATTAATCAGGTGAAGGAACCAAGAAAAGGTTATGTACAGAAAATAGTAAAGTGAAATACTTAAAACATAAGAAATAAGACACAATTTAGTAATATGTACCTGTTCTTTTTATTGGCTCTTCCACATATTTCATCTTGTCGCTCAAATAACTGCCTCTAATCACTTAACTAGTTTCCTCCACTGATGAAATGTTAAAAATCCTATATTCAGCAACAAACTATATTTATTTGGAGCTCCAAGCTCATCAAACAGAAGAAACACACATTTGAGCATCTCTCCTGATCATTTTCAGCTCTTGTTTCATGCAGTTCCTGTCACTGAGGAACTTTCATACGTCCAAACTGAGTAAAAAAACACACCTCAGCCCTATTTTTTTATTTATTTTTTTACCTGGGCACAGCTGACAACTAGAAACATTCCCTACCATGAACCAAACGTTTATCTCCGCTAGGATCAGCTCAGTTTAAACAAAATAAATCCATTCACACACCATGTCACAGGCGAGCTCCTCGTTGATAATGACAAGCTCGCGGTGCACTTCTTCTTCTTCTGTTTTAAAGGCGGCGTGCTCGGCTCTTCTTCTTCTCTGTAACATCAGCGCTGCAGCGCCAGCGCAGCCTAGTAGCTAAGCATAGTAGCGGTTGTTGCGCGTAACATACTCGCGCTTTCTACTCGTCTACTGTAATAACAGTGTTCATGCAACTTTTTTACCTCATACATAAAACGCTAAAATCGGGGACATTTCCAGGGACAGCTTTAGCAGGGGACAGGTCGTCCAAAACGGGGACCGTCTCCAGAAGTTGGGAACGTCTGGTCACCCTAATTTTAGCACCAACAAGGTGCTTATCAAGGAGCTATTAGCGGGAAACTTAGCACACAGTCTGTTTTTAACTTAAAGATGTTATTTCTCAGGTTTTTTTTGGTCATGTTTTTGAACTTTTTTATTTTGATTTGATTTTTTTAATTTTTTTAAAGACTTATTCTTTCGCTTTCCATTAGTCTGGTTGTCTAATTTTTCTTAAAGCTTTGACTGCACAGTTAGGTGAAGGTCAAAGGCTGGACAGAAAATACCTAAAACAAACTTTTTAAAACTTTTATAAAATCTGAATTTATCAAATAAAAGATTATATTAAAAGATACCACGAAGGTCTTGCGTCTTGAAATCCACAACACAAAGAATTTAGTTAAATTGTGGCGACAAAAGGTTTCACATCATTACCTCATTTGTTTTGTTCTAAGCTTTCTAAATCCTGATTGTTTTTGTAAAGGCTTGGCGCTGGGAGGCTGATTAAAGAGAAGGCAGAAGTTGACTAAAACAACATATTCTTTTTTTTATACTTCGCATGATGAACTCAAGCTCCGTGGTTTTTACCATTTAACTCGGCAGCCGCAGAGCTACATAAACAATCCGCTTCTTGTTCTGATTAAATTCACCATCATGTCATGGAGTTTCCCTTTAATCAGCACATTAATACTTCGGTTGCCGCAAACTTATCAGAGCTGGCGTTCCCACATTATACACAACGTTATCCATCAATTTAAATATCCTACACGTGAAAAGTAAATGTTTCAAAAGCTGTATGATACTACAAACTAGTATCTATTTCATAAAACTCAACGTTTTACGGAACTTAACCTGCTTAGTCATTGTCTGTATAAGCATGTTTGGATCACTCTCAGCTACTATCAGAATCAGAATATTGTCATTACACAGTTAAGTACAGAGAAATTTCATTCCGTACAGCCGTCTGAAGGATAGACGGAAGTGTACTGGGGCTGCAGCTTTCTATGAAGCGCTGCCCTTATCGCTTAGACAAGCAAAGGGAAAGAAAATATGAGGAGACAAGGTATAAAAAAAGATCTCTCACACCGTGTCCTTGACACAAGGCACGGTGTAAGGTAGCAAAACAGTCTACCTCAGCAAACAACAGAGACATAATACATTCTGCAGTGGGGGGATGACAAGATAGTGAGATTGTCCATGAAGACTTCCAGAAAGTTTCCATAGTCCTGATAAAAATGTTACAGTGTCTCTCAGCTGGTCCACTCTGATAAGGGTTCTTAATTTATGTATCTACCAGGAGCAATTTG